TTAGCCACTTGGAAACAAACTGACCAATAAAAACACTGATTACATGTACTAACTAGCCACTTGGAAACAAACTGACCAATAAAAACACTGATTACATGTACTAATTAGCCACTTGGAAACAAACTGACCAATAAAAACACTGATTACATGTACTAACTAGCCACTTGGAAACAAATTGACCAATAAAAACACTGATTACATGTACTAACCTTCATTATCCTCGTAGATTATTGTAAAGGTTTTCCATTTCTTGGTCAGTACCAGGTCAAGATATGCTCGGCCTAACACTGGAGCGTGCGGATAGATGTTTACAGAGAAAGCATCCGGAAGGAAACGGTATTCCCAGTTGGTCACGATATGTGGAATCTCCATCGCGTGGCACGTGGACTGGACAAGAGCACTACAGGACGGAGACTTTGGTCCAAAAATGGCTGCCACTCCATCTTGAATTAACCGGCAAACTTAAGAGAAAATTATAATATAACTTAGTGATCCATACCGAATGACTGACTAGATGTTTCAATGAAAGTAAAAAAAATCTTGATACAAAATATTTACAATTCTTACTGTAACCACTTGATCCGGTGAGGCTGGATGAAAGTTATCCCTCTGGATCTGTATAATTAACGATAAAAATTTCTAAAGGTTACATTACAGATTTATTGTTGTGCATTAGCAGAAAAGATATAAAAATGCTTTATTTGTAGCTATAATTTTGAATAAATTAATTAAAAGAAAATGTTTTTGTACTTTTATTGTTACAGACTATACAAAAATCTACAGCGTCCTGTGGAGTGTAATTCACCATTCTTACCGGTAAGAAAACTAGAACCAATCCCGCGACAGCTTAAGTTGGTTGTAGCGGAAGTTACTTCCGTTTTACTATTAGACCAACTACACGTTCTGAGAATGTCTACATAAATATGTAGTGTCACACTCGGCCATGGTTTACAGGAATTTAAATTGGTTGTAGCGGAAGTTACTTCCGTTTTAGTATTAGACCAACTACTACACGTTCTAGGAATGTCTATATAAATATGTAGTGTCACACTAGGCCATGGTTTACAGGAATTTAAATTGGTTGTAGCGGAAGTTACTTCCGTTTTAGTATTAGACCAACTACTACACGTTCTAGGAATGTCTATATAAATATGTAGTGTGTCAAACACGTCATAGTTTACAGGACTGATGGAACGAATAAGTTCCAAATAGTCGCGTTTTTACAGATTTTGTAAGTGAACAATTGCATGGGATAATGGAACGTTACAGTTGAAAACAGAGTAGCTTATCGCATTCAGAATAATTATATCTTAGTTAATAATCAGTACATGTATTTATACAGTTCGCACAGATTTATCTTACACTGTATTTGATGCTTTATAAGATTATCGTGAAAAATTGTTGCAGCGATTATTTTAATGAATTATTAGGGTTGATTTGTGAGAAAAGTACAGAAAAGTGGGATGTTGCTAAGGAAACTAATGGCTTCTATCGAGTGGTTGCTAAGGAAACTAATATTTTTCTAAAAGAGTAATAGCAACGATAGTGATCTCTATGGAGTGGTTAGTAAATAAAATGATGGTTTGTTTCTATGGAGCTGGTGCATGTGGACTCGTTAATCCTCTTTAACCAATATAACTCCATCTTTGTAAGAAGCAGAGACACCTGCACATACATACCAGAACTAGGATTTATAATTACATACATGGACAGAGAGAGACTTAAGCAGCCATAATATATTAACAAAAGTCGCAAACATGTTGCAAAATACACACCCCCAGTTGGTCAGTGCAATAATGGACCTGCTAAAGGTCATTATTCAGTGATCGACCTCTGTACGTATTGACTGTAAACATTATTATTATCATGACGTTTTGACTAAGTAAGTTTACAACGTAATTCTGTTAAATGTTCAACATTTATATGTTAAGAGAGTACATTCTTAGGACTTTTTTATTAGCATTATTACAATTTATCATTCAGGCTTAAAGTAAACGCTTTGATTTATTTATCATATGAAGTGAAAAAATAAAAGTTTTAAAGTCTAAATTTTGATTTTAATGAAAGTTTAGAGGTAAAGAGATGGTGGCATTAGTATTGCCCCTAGAACGTTTAGGGTACAGAGATGGTGGCTCTAGTATTGCCCCTAGAACGTTCAGGGGTACAGAGATGGTGGTTCAAGTATTGCCCCTAGAACGTTTAGGGGTACAGAGATGGTGGCTCTAGTATTGCCCCTAGAACGTTCAGGGGTACAGAGTTGGTGGTGCTAGTATTGCCCCTAGAACGTTCAGGGGTACAGAGTTGGTGGTGCTAGTATTGCCCCTAGATAATGTTTCGGCCTTTTCCAAAAGTTTGTTTGTTTGCTGTTAAGCACAAAGCTATACTATGAGCTATCTGTGTTAAGCCCACCACGGGCATCAACATTTGGTTTTTAGCGTCATGAGCCTTCAGACTTACCGTTAAGTCACTAGGGGGCGTTTTAAACAAAAAGGGTTTGATTATGGAAATGAACGAGTACTCGTATCCATATATAATCGAACTCTGAGCTCCATGGATACCGAATGAAGGATAATATATATATAATATCTCACTCGGTATTATGTGTAATGGGAAAAAAAAATCAACTAAATCTCGTGTGTGTGCGTAGAGGTAACACCAAACATTTTGTAAACTTTAGGCTTTAAAAAGTAGCAATTAATTCAGAGAAAACAAGAAGAAGAAAAAAACAGCTCCTGGACGGAACAAGAAGGAAAGATGGGGTCTTTAATTAGGAGAACATCCAGTTCTAAGAATGTACGAGGGCAGAGAAAGAAAAACTAGAGGGAGGGAGAATGTAGTTTTTTGTATCAACTTCTTATCTAATTTAGAAAAAAACAACTGTGTAATTGGTACTACCTAACACAATAAATTAAGCCAAGCTTTTTCGTTCGTGTCAGATATACGGGTTAGCTTTATAGTTGTAAGATATGTAAAGAAATCCGAAAATCATTGATGTTCATATCTTATTTCTGGTCTAATTAAGCTTTTTACAGCTATCTGATTCTTAGTCAGGAAATAATCCGACGGTGTTTATTATGAAACACAAGATGTCACTGAAGGTTCCATGAGAAACCTGCTAACTAACGGTTGATACTTATTATCTCAGGAGAAACCTGCTAACTAACGGTTGATACTTATTATCTCAGGATAAACCTGCTAACTAACGGTTGATACTTATTATCTCAGGATAAACCTGCTAACTAACGGTTGATACTTATTATCTCAGGAGAAACCTGTGAACTAACGGTTGATAATTATCTCAGGAGAAACCTGTGAACTAACGGTTGATAATTATCTTGGGAGAAACCTGCTAACTAACGGTTGATACTTAATATTAATAAAAAACAAACAGAAACAGTTGGCTCAACCACCTGCTACTTCGTAAGACATAGTAATAGTGAGCTTCCCGCCATCTAGTGGTAATAAACTACCTTGCTTGTGGAGTAAAGGTGCCGTTAAAGTAATATCATCATCTAGAAGGACAAGATTCTGGCCATCACTAGACAAATATGTTTTATTGCATGTACATACTAATGGAATACACACAACCATCTTACTACTTTCAACCACAAAAACGTTCATTCTTTTAAAAGGGTTAATCCGCGCTCACATAAGCAAAAAGTACAATACTTTGTAGTTCAATCGCTTCAGAATCTAGAAACCTTGAAAGTACATTGTTTTCAGTTGTAATACATAGGTCTGTATAATTGCAATTATATAGTCCTATTTATGCAGACTTTTTTTGTTTAAACTATGCTTCATATATAATTTAAAAACAAGAAGGAACCTTAAAGTCCATCCAGACCGTACGATCCACCATATTAAAACATTATTTATTAAGCCTTCCCTTAAATTAACTACATAGACCAAATTCCGTTCTTTAAAGTTTTGTGTTATAATTCAATGACCAACATTAAAAACAAACTCGTAAACGTGATTTATAAATCAAACTGTCTGAAATCATACTCGTCCATTACAGACACTTACTTTTATCGAATCAATTATTAAACATATTTCACTACACGGAAAGTTTTAGCGTATAATTCAACGATAATGATGAAATTTATTTGATTTTATCTTCTAACCACGACCCAGTTTTACTATTTCGCACTTTTTAAATAACTATCAGAAAACGTAGAGTACTGTAGATGTATAGCATCTTGCTTTTGTTTACTCTCTGACAAACAACATTTTCCAATTGTCCGTCTATATGTCCGGTATCACGAGTCGTTGTGGCGAACTGATTAAATAAAATTTGGCAGAATTCGCGTTTAAATGAACGGATGAACGGTTCGTATTTGGCAGTCATTTCAACTTTACTATTTTAATGCCGCGAATGAGGGCTAATCTGGAGCGAGTATGTGGGTAGCAAAATATGCGAAGTCACATCACCATACGAAAGTAACGTTTGATGGCACTTCTTGCAAGGGTTCGTTTGATACGACTTAAAATAGTAGATGATGGCTCAAGCCTCCGTTTGTAGCATTGTTTTTACAGCTTGTCATTGGCCGATTTACCAAGAACAAGATAAACACCACAGTCAGCAACACACGTCAAGATAAACCCCACTTGTCAGAAATACATAACTATAACTTCAGGCCATCAGGAATATTGGCTAAAAACTAGTCACCACAGTCAGCAACACATGTCAAGATAAACTCCACTTGTCAGAAATACATAAATATAACTTCAGGCCATCAGGAATATTGGCTAAAAACTAGTCACCACAGTCAGCAACACATGTCAAGATAAACTCCACTTGTCAGAAATACACAAATATAACTTTAGTCCAACAGGAACATTGGCTCATAGTCCATCACGAATATTGGCTGACATGTGTTGCTGATGTGGTGACTAGTTTTTCTTATCTTTTCACGGTACCTATACCTAAAGCTTGTTGATGAACTAAATGATGTTTTTTTGAATGTGTTCCTAATGAGTGGAGGTTTTCTCTGCCTAAAAGAGTTTTCCTTTCAATTTTTGTTTGTGTATCATCTACCTCCAGGTATTTCTCATCAGTGGTGTGTATTTTTGGTTGCTGTTTATGGTCACTAGAGGGCTTTTGGCACGTGCTTCTGGCTGTGGTGGTTTATTCTTGGCCAATGTTCTTGAAAACTAAACAGATTTATGTATTTCTGACAAGTGGAGTTTATCTTGACATGTGTTGCTGACTGTGGTGACTAGTTTTTAGTCAATATTCCTGATGGCCTGAAGTTATATTTGTGTATTTCCGACAAGTGGAGTTTATCGTGACATGTGTTGCTGACTGTGGTGACTAGTTTTTAGTCAATATTCCTGATGGCCTGAAGTTATATTTATGTATTTCTGACAAGTGGAGTTTATCGTCCATTGAAAACGCTAAAGAAAAAAATGGAGGAAAGGATTTGTGAAGTATCTTGGTAGCCAACTTTCAGAAGTACAGT